CGCTCATATTTTGTCCTTTAAAAAATATTCTTTAAAATCCACGCCTTTTTGGTCCTCGAAAAAATATTCTTTAAAAAACCAACGCCTTGTGGGTCCTTTGAAAAAATATTCTTTAAAAAATCCACGCCTTGCTTGAGTCCTTTAAAAAATCCACGCCTTGCTTGAGTCCTTTAAAAAATCCACGCCTTGCTTGAGTCCTTTAAAAAATCCACGCCTTGCTTGAGTCCTTTAAAAAATATTCTTTAAAAATCCACGCTCATATTTTATCCTTTAAAAAATATTCTTTAAAAATCCACACTCATATTTTGTCCTTTAAAAAATATTCTTTAAAAATCCACGCCTATTTTCTGAACATATTCTTGAACATTAAATTTTTAATTTCATCAATCTATGACCTACAGTGCCATCTGGTATCGGAATACTAAAACATATTATCAGTTTACTATAATGATTCTTTAAGATTATCAATCGATAACATTTGATATTGGCGTCTATGAAATGTGGAATTATTAACAATTTAATAATGGCCACATAAATTAACATTTCATTTGCCTATAGATTAGAATGCATTAGCGTATGATCGATTTCATGGTTCGGCACGTGATACTGTAATATAGATTACAAATTATAGACTAGACTTTGAAAACAATAATTTTATTGATAATTACATTCGTAATCCCGTAATACATTGTATGTAGTTGTTGTCAGGGTATAAATATTTACAAGGATCCGGAGTCAATTTACCATATCAATTCTCATATATAGTAAACTAGCAAAGAACCCGCTACTTCGTATACAGAAAGAGAATACAAAAAATGTATTTCATACGGAAATCGTGAATACTGTATAATTTGTTGTACTATAGTTCTGAATACCACCCCTATTCATACATTTAATATCCAATTTATTACTATTAAGTATTCTTCATTCAAATAAGCACTATTTTCCAAAATCTTTTTCATATTTCAGCAGTGTTGGCGGGTTATTTGGGATACCATTTCTAATTTGTGTTTTCAAAATAGTCAGGCTGAATCCCAGTTTTTTGTTTTTATAAAAACAACTATTTATTAGTGGGGAATGTATGGCATTGTCCGCCGAGGGGTAAGGCAGGGAAGACTATAGTTTCGGATCTCGCCACTGATCCTCATCAGTTCCCTTAGTTTTTTGTTGGGATATTCTCCCCAGAAGATATTTATTGCTTCTTTACAAAAAACCTTTCATACCCAAATGTCTCTTGTGACAATTCGAAGTTCTTACGTTACCAGCGATACGACCCCAATGAGAAGTTCGTTTCGTTGGCGCCTGACTTCGTGCTCAACAATGCATTTGTATTGTAGTTGTCTGCAAATGCCTTGTTGAACACGAAGTCAGGCGCCAACGAAACGAACTTCCCATTGGGATCGTATTAAATACTCAAAATATTTCTTATTTATATTATACAGATTAAAAATAGATCTGAATTCCAATTATATAGTTTAGCAAAACGTACATCTTCCACATTTAGTTCCATTTAGCACATTTCGAACACATAAGTACACATTTTCACGACTACCTCCATACCATCACCACCACTAAGTTTAGTACCAATTAGTACCAAAAACCCTTTTGATCCTTTTTTTAACTCTCTGTCAGTGACCCACATTCTAAATTTAAAGTTTCCATTTCTCTCGGTTAACCAAATCCTAATTGATCCAAATTTAGTAAATTTTCTAGTCCATTTACAATTCGTAGGCATAAATTCGAGTTTCCAAAGATGTCTCCATAACTCAATACTACACTTCAACACTTATCTAAACTCCAAATCTCAGCTAAATCCAAATTGTTCCAATTTTAGTACCATTTAGTCCTTTTCATACTCATAAATAAAAATTTCTAAAACTACATTAATCCTACATTGTAACTGTAATCTTAATTCCACCAAAGTCCAAATTGTACCAAATTTTAAACTTTTCGTACTCATAAGTACAAATTTTCAAATTTACCTTAATCCAGCTTTCAAATACTAATCGTATATTTAAGAATTCCAGCTCACTCTGTTCATTAAAAACCTAATTATACGAGCTTTGGTACTATTCTGTACTTTTCGTACCCATATTCCAAAACCTACCTAAATATTCCAAACCTGATTTCAAATAGTAATCATAAGTCCACATTTAAGAATTCCAGCTCTGCCGGTTCACTAAATTGTGCCACATTTGGTAGCATACGATACTTTTCCTACACTCCCATAGTAACCTATGTTGCAAATTTCAGGATTCGAGTTCTACCCGTTCGTCAGAGTCCATAAATACGAATTTCCAAAACTACATTAGTCATGCACCCCAATAATACCCTTAAGTCCACATTTAAAGATCCCACCTTTATCCGTTCCTCAACATTCAAATTGTACCATTTATACCTTTTCATAGACGTAAGTATGAGTTTCTAAAACCTCCTCAATTCCACACTGCTGCAGTAATTGTAATAATCAATTTCAGGATCTCAGCACTATCCATGTTCACATATATCCAAATTTACCATATTTAGTACTTTTCGTATTTATGAGTTAGAATTTCCAACGCTGTCTCATTCCTGTACTCTAACAGTAATTTTATTTTCAAATATAAGTTTTCAATTGTATTAAACGTAGTACCATTTAGTACACATAATTACGCATTTTCAAAACTACCACAATGTCTCAATCCTACACTCCAACCTTAATTTTACAAAATTCCATTACAAACTGTATTTTCCATTACAAACTTAAGTTTTCCATCTCTATCCGTTCACCCAAAAATTGTGCCAAATATAGTACCATATAATTAGTACTAATTATGTGGTAATTAGTACACATAATTAAGAATTTTCAATACTACCATATCATATCCGAACTCCTGTTCTTCAACTGTAATTTAAATTCTAAATTTCAGGATTTCAGTCCTATCCTTTCACACAAAAACAATTTGAAACTATTTGGTACCATTTAGTACTATTTGTTTTCATAATTAAGAATTTTCTAAACTAACTCATCCTATCCTACACTTTAACAGTATTTTTTTAATTTTTCACATCTAATCAAGTTGTACCAAATATAGTACCATTTAGTACACATAAGCACTATGCTTCCATATCTCAATTCTATATTCCAACAGCAAACATTATTCCAAATTTAGGGTTTCGAGTACTTTTCGTACACATAAATACGAACTTCCAAATATGTCTCTATAGCTCAATCTTCAACAGTAACCTTAACCCTTTGTGGCCCAATGTTGCCCACAGGCAACAAAATGTTTTACAGCTTATATTTCATATGTAGCTAGTAGATATATATTCTTTGTATTTCATACGTCAAGACCTGATTATCGACGACACATATCAAAAGAAAAATCAAAAAAATTCAAATTTTTGGTAAAGTTATGAGCTTTTCAATGTAGAGAAGAGGGCAAAAATGTGTACAGTACTAATTTGTGTATACAGTCCAAATTATTTAAATCGCTTCGCATTAGAAATGTATAAATTCTGTCATCAGAATTATTTTTGATTCTTGTGAAAATGAATATAGAGAATAATTTAAAATGATTTTTTCTTCGATTTTTCATTTGGTTTTCTTGATATTGGGCTTTCATTTTTCAGAAGGAATGTACTGTATCTACCGAATGCAAGGATGTAGCGATCTCAAATTTTGTCTATAACCTATCTAGGATAGATGCATTAAATCTGTGAACATAAAATTGATCTATGACTACGGAAAAAATTCGGGGCTCAAAGGGTTAATTCCAAATTTCTGCTGAATTATTTTATCTAAACTTTTTATTATTTTATCTATATTGATATTTAATGGAGTAATTACCAAATGGTTAATAGTTCACTCACTTTAGTTGTAATAGCTCAAGTGCAAACACCGATGTACCTTCTGGAGGTCAAACACCCGACAAAGTGCTAAATAGCCAAAATATGTTGTTGACCGATAACAGCTGTTACACTAGGTACCGCTTTTGTTTATAGGCCTTTTGCGAGACGAATTCGAAATAGCGAATATCTAGCCTTAATAACTTGAGGCTACTGATAGCCGTTAATTTTTTTCGCCTTAAAAGACTGGGTGATCTTATTTTTATAACCTGCACCATAAGGTGAAAGAATAATATTGATCCACTTTTATTGTAGCTCCTATATAACAGTGCCTTCCAAATTTCAATATTGTGGGAACGGTTTTTAAACAATATAGTTGCAATTTTTTATTTGGGATTCTCTTTTGGTTGAATTATAACATACCGAAAATTATCAATATTGGCTAAAGTTTCAGGATTATAGGATTTTAATCGAATTGGCTCTATTAGATATATTGGGTTATCTATGGGTGACACATATTGCTACCAAAAACAAATATCAACATATGTCCTTATTTTGGAAAAGCCCCACATATAACTTTGACGATCGGTATGTTCGGAATCCTAGGCCAATTTTCCAATGATAGTCTGTGATAGTCAGTGATATGATATCACCTTTTTCCAATAGGTCCCTTATAATGGTGCCGATGTATATTCGGTATATTGAATGTGCACATCATGGTGATTCGGGATGGCCAAGCTTTACGAAGCTTTAAAATGTATTTATATAATACAATAATTATTTCAACAAAAATATATAAAAACATGACATACATACATATTTATGATTACTATCGAAGTTCTTAAGGCCTCTGTCTTAGATATGGCCGACCATTAGGTAATCTCTCTTAAATATGGAGACTTCAACGTCGAAATATAAAAAATGAATGTTTATGGCTCAATGTTATCGCTCAATGTAAAACAGCGATAAGTTTGCTAATATATTAACGGTTATAAATAATTGTTTATTGGTGATTTGATATTAATTTAAAGGGGACTTAAAAAGTAAACAAAATAAAACAATATTAACAAATAAGTAAAACAGAATTATATTTTTAAAATTCTTTTATTTTCAAAGTATTTGAATATCCTTTGGACGTGTTCCTTATTACACTAAAACTTTATCTACATTATCTAAAATAAACGAGAAACAATCATCATCATAAGAGTACCAATGGCCATAGTAGAACCGCTAATTGCAGCACTACCACTCTTGGTGTAATAGGCTTGGAACCAATCCATCAATGGATCACGATTAGCATTCAACCAATTATTGTTAGCTTCAATGTTTGTCTTGACCGCGGACTCCAAATTGCTGGTGGCATGGCCGGTGCCCTTGATTTTGTCAACCAAAGCCAATAGACGTTTCTCTTGTTCGCTGTTCATAACATATTGGGACATACCACGCAAAGCAGTATCCAAAGGTTTACCAGAACCTCCATTCAAATTGGCATATTCATTCCAGTGTCCATCGAGGAAATCAAAAGTGGCCATCAAACCGACCGATCCACGTGAGTAAACGGGATTGAGAATGGTGGTACGTTCAGCGGTGAGCAATTTGTTGTTTTGATCAATTGAACTTTCCAAATAGAATTTCAATTGCTTTTCGTTTTGGGAGCAACCCAACGAACTGATGAGCAAGCGACGGAATGTCGCATCGGAGGATTGTTCAAGGGTTCCGAAATAGTATTGGAACACATCATCAGCGGATTGTCTAAGACCATGGCAGAAGACTTGAGTTTTAACATTGGGTTCAACGGGGGTACCCTGTTCCATTAAATCCTTCAATTTATTGTTGGTATCCACGAGACAGCTCCTGACACCAGCCAAACAGGCCATATTGATGACCGAGCTGCGGGCGAATTTCTGCATATGTTGGTCAGCATCAAAATCATTGGCACCAATTTTTTCATAGACGGGACCGATCATTTCGGCCAAGAAGTTTTGGAAATCCGAATATCTGGCATCACTGTTCAAGTAACGATTATAGACATTGATAATAGCATTGGCCGTGGACAAGGGAGCATATTGATCTTCCTGCGGTAAATAGGTGAACAAATCCAAGAGAACGGAATGTGGCAAACGGTTAGACAACGTGAAACGATAAGCATCATGCATCAACTGGGCACGATTGCGTGGATGAATCCTGTAAGGATTTTCGCGCAGACCCTCAGCAATTAGACGCCAATTTTCCACATCGTAATTGATACGATAGAAACCAGTGGATTGTTTGTTCAAAATCAACCATTCATCCTTGCCCAAATTGGCCTTGACCTCTGCGCTGGGCACCTTCATCAAGTAGTTGGTAGCTCTGGTATCACGGAAATCTGATTTCGATTTCGAGGCATAATTGAAGGGAACATACCAAGTTTTGTCCGATTGCAATTTTTCATCGTTAAAGAATTGCTTTTGACTGACGGTAAAGGAGCCATCTTCGTAGTTACGTTCGACAGTCAACACGGGATAACCACCTTGACGTGACCAAGAGCCCATCATAGCATCGATGTCAGCGGGTAGGACGAAGTTTTCTTCTTTGGCAGCTGTTTGAATGGCAGTGAAAAGTTGTTCTTCAACGGCACTGTCATATTGGCTGTAAAGAGAGTGGAGAGAGAATGGGTTCAATATGGATATCCGGTATGGAGAGGAACATAATTACGGTGCCAAAATTATAGGTTCAATTATTATCGGCAAGTGGTCAAATTTAAAAGAGACGTGGATGTTTAAAGAAAACTTTTTAAGGACCAGCATAGGCGTGGATTTTTTAAAGAAGACTTTTTTCAAGGACCAACATAGGCGCGGATTTTTTAATGAAGTTCTTTTTTTCAAGGAACAACATAGGCGTGTATTTTTTAAAGAAAACTTTTTTCAAGGACCAACATAGGCGTGGATTTTTTAAAGAAGACTTTTTTCAAGGACCAACATAGGCGCGGATTTTTTAAAGACTATTTTTTCATGGTCCACCAGATGCGTGGATTTTTTAAAGAAGACTTCTTTTAAGGACCAACATAGGCGCGGATTTTTTAAAGAAAACTTTTTCAAGGACCAACATAGGCGCGGATTTTTTAAAGAATATTTTTTAATGGTCCACCAGATGCGTGGATTTTTTAAAGAAGACTTTTTTCAAGTTCCACCAGAGGCGTTGATTTTTAAAGAAGACTTTTTTCAAGCTCCGCCAGAGGTGTGGATTTTTTAAAGAAGACTTTTAAGTTCCCTTTATCTGACTATATAAACTAAATGCTACAGTTGCAAAATTGGAATATTTCGATTGGATGTGAATCCAAAACTAAAACTTACCTGGCAACCAAATAGTTCTGTAAACCTCTACGGAAAACTGGATCGGTCAAGGCATGATTCCACATGTGCAACACGGAACCGGCCTTGGCATATGATACATAATCGAATACACTATCAACCTCATAAGGTGTCTGCACATAATGGGTCATGGGGCGGGGAGAACTGTTGGCATCATTTACCAAAGCTGATTGATAAGAATCGGTGTGGAATTGTTGCCAAATACCCCATTCAGGATAGGCCTAAATTAAAAAAAAAAAATTTTATGTATAGGTAATAAAATCGGAAATCAAAATTGTTTTACTTACATCATCTGTAGTTTTGTACTCGAAGAGGGTGGCAAAACCTTCCTTCAGCCATGTATAAGTCCACCATCTAATGGCTACATAATCACCGAACCAAAAGTGACCCAATTCGTGAGCAATAACTGTGGCAATGGAGGTTTGAGTGCCAACGGTTGAGGTTTCCTTGTTGTACAGCAAATACGCTTCACGGTATGTGGCCAAACCCCAGTTTTCCATAGCACCGGCAGAGAAATCAGGTATAGCTGCTTGATCCAATTTCGGCAACATATATGGAATATTGAAATATTCACCCAAACGCTCCACGATCAGCATACCCGAAACCAAAGCCCATTCTTGTTCATGTTTGGCATTGGGTCGCGAGTAGATGCGCTGCGGCACACCACCCAAAACACCTTCGGTATATTCGAAGTCGGATATGACGTAGGCAATTAAATAACTGGGCATAATGGGTGTGGGCTGGAAAACTGTTCTGCCGACACTAAATGGGGAGGGGAGAGATAATCGAAAAAAAAAATATAATTTTGGGCTTGAGGTACCGCAGGGAAGAGAAAATTAACTCACGTAGTGGCCTCTTCATTAACAGGCATATTTGAGATGGCGTTATAGGTGGGACTGTGATTGATGATAATGGTGAATGTGGCACGCTTGCTGGGCTCATCGTAACAGGGGAAACCGTGACGGGCCTCGGTACTTTCGAACTGGGTGGTAGCTAAATATCTAGTGAAAGGAAAATAAAAATGCAATTTAGTCAGGATCAGGGTTCCGAAGGGTCAATAAACACTTGGGAGAGGAGGAAAATTTCTTTTTTTTTATTCCGAAAAACTCACCTCGTCTCTCCATTTTCATCGGTATAGGTGGACAAATAGAAACCACCCATATCGAGACGCAATAGACCTTCATATTCCACCGTCACTGTCCATTTGCTATCCTTGGGGAAATTCTCCGAAGTTTTACGTGACAAAGTTAAAAATTCACGTTCTTCTTCGAAGGCAATATTCAAATCTTCACTAGCCGAGGTTGAACTTTGAATTTTAGCCGATTTAATGGTTAATTGTCGGGCATGCAGGACCACACTTGTCGTTGGTTCCACCACATTTATATCAATTTTAACAATACCCGAAAATTCCCTGGTACCATCATGGACATTGGTGGTGAATTCGACTTCATAGTGTAGGGGTATGGTGTTATTCGGCAGGCGATAATTTAAATCTTCGGCACGTTGCTGCAAACGAGCTGTGGGATTTTCCAAATTACCCGTTTCGCGGTACAATGGTGGCCTACCACGAACACCAGCATAAGCAGGTCCTGCTGACAGGAGCACGACCATCAGGCCCACACACAGAATACCGCCTAAACTATGCATGTTGTTTCACGTCGCAGTTACAACATGCAATTGATCGTGCCGTTGCGGCATCCTAGGAATTTTATAAACTTGGCCGACTTCTTCGGCCGATTATCAGTGACGATTTTTTATTATTTATTTTAGAACTTCTGATATGGATATCAATGGCACGCATTATATTGATGCTTTATCGCGATTTTTTTAGGACTTGGGAATTTTGACGCCTCACAGATATAAGTTGTGTTCTTAAGAAATCATAACTTGTTAGATGTCTGCTTAGATAGCTGAGACCAATAAATGTCAATTACCGGGTTTTATGGAAAAATTTCTACTTATCAATTTGTTGTTCGTTATCTTGAATAAGGAATATATGTATGTATGTCAATGGTTTGATATTGATATTGTAAAAACTTAGATTATTTCAATCGATAATCTAACGCGTCTAGGTGCTCTTCAAATATATAAACAAAAATGTTGCAGTGTTCTACTTTGATTCTCTTAAAGATATATTTTCAAGGACACCTACAGGGTGGAAATTGTATACCATCAGCTATGAGGTGGAGGATATTAAATTTGTCATTAAGTTTCAGCGCTCGTAGTCTTCCAGACGTTTTGCTAGAATTGTCATAATAGCTTGGTCCGCTCTATAGCAATCTCTAACCTCGGTGACCTCGATACTGATGTAAATAAAATTTCTGAGTACCTCAAAGCAGTAGTTTTCAAGTTCCACAGTTGGTCCGAGGCTACTGGACGTCTTGCTGCGTGTTGATGTCATTAACTTGGCTTCTAGCCATTTATTGCCAGACCTACTTTGTCAGACGCCTTCTTAATTTGTTCAAAGGACACCATTTCCGTTTACTTTTGCATCTAGTCTGATATTCACAAGGACGTTAAATAAATCACACGATAGACTGTCACTTTGTCTGAACCCACGTATTGAATGGCTCCGAGAGGTTCTTTCCGACTTTAACTGCTGATCTTGTGCCACATAAAGTTTTCCTGCATAGCCGTATCAATTTTGCAGGAATGACGAACGCAGACATATCTTTAAAAACCTTCGAGCGGATTGGGCTGTCAAATGATCCAATATGTTTAGTCGTTCACACAGCACGCTGGATAACTCTTTATATGTGATGAGACTAATTCCTGTGTAATTAGAACGTATCTCTCATTTTTTGTGTAGGGGACACAAGATGCTGATGTTCCAATCAATGAACAAGCGTTCCTTTAGCAATAAGCTGATATATACTACTGATAACCATTTGCCCAAATATTTTGAGTACACCATCGACTGTCACTGTCATCGGGCTATACTGTGTTTTCTACTGTCATACTGCGAGTGACTGTCAGCGGGTTGCATTCTTTCTGCTGTCATCGGGCTGCACTGTGCCTGCTCCCGTTACTGTCATCGGGCTGCACTGTGCCTGCAGCCGTCAACCTCCGAATGCCGTCACCATTCTTTAAACAGAGTAACACCTACACCATCCACCTTCACCTTGATTAATCTGATTCAAATCCAGACGAAATAACGTCGATCGAATAGCTAAACAACCCAAACTCTTAGTTGAATCTCGAACGCCGATCTAATTCTTCGCATTCTCTCGTGCCGAAACTTGTTCTAGTACCGCATACCAAAACTTCGTCCCGTGGACTACTTCTCCTCAGAGTCATATCTCTCTCTTAAAAATCCCACAACAAAAATAAATTCTGGTCACGACTGTAGCCCCCGTTGAACCTACCCCAGCATCAAAGTGATAAACACGTCGTCACAGTTGTAACCATTCTATGCTGTCGTCTTGTATTGTCTCTGGGATATCTCCTCCACTATTTCATACCAGAAGTTTCACAATATGCTTCATCCAGATTCATAATCTCATCAGGTACCATAGGTAAACTTCATTCTGTATATCAGTACATCTAGATTTTCTCACGCTTACGTTTTTCTTGTTCTTTCTTCTTTTCGTTTAATAAGTTTCTCCTATATTTCGCATTGCGTGATGCTACTGCCGCAGGGTTGATAAATACGCTGCGTTTTTCACCTCACTAGCATTACCACACTCCCGATCGTGCCAAGGTTTTTTAATGGTGGTGGTTAAACCGTCCCTAGGTTTCCATGTTCATCTCGACAGCCAAAGCCTTTGGTGTTTTACTCCTTGGTAAAATGTCCGGCCTTAATACTAACTCCTATAGATCTTGATTTGCTCACTCTTGAATTTCCTTGTTGTTTTTTTTTTCTTTTTTTAAGATTTCTTCTCTCTCCTTTTCTCCCGATAATTCTCCCACGTATTTTGTGTCGTCAGGGTTGCTTTATGCGCTGAGTTTTTTTACCTCAATAGATTTGCGACGCTTGATACAATTTGTATTTTTGGTGGACCGATAGACGAGGGATCCTGAAATTTCGAGATAGGATCATTGAAGGGGGCTAGGATTGGGGTTATGTAGGCAGTTTTGGAAATTCGTACTATTGTGTACTAAATGGTACCAAATTCGGATTTGGGTAAAGCGATAGAACTGAAAAACTAAATTTTGGAGTGTAGGATTGTGGTATGGATGTAATTTTTAAAAATTCATACTTATGGATACTAAATTTGGTACAATTTGTATATTTGCTGAACCGATAAAACTGGAATCTTGACATATGAGTTATGATCACTGTTGAGATGTAGAATTGGGCTATGTAGTTTGGAAATTCATACTAATGTGTACCATATTTGGTACAATTTAAATTTTGAGCTAGAATCCTGAAATTAGGAGTTGGTGTGTAGGATTGGGATACGTAGGAAAATTGTACTAATGTGTACTAAATTTTATATTTTGGGTGAACCGATAAATTTGGAGTTATGATCATTTTGGGGTGTAGAATTGGCTATCGACATATTCAATACTTTGTAGTATGATATTTTCTATACTGGTGTTGTTAATTTTTATGACCATTTTCTTGCTATTAATCTCAAGTCCAACATTGCGAAACAGTCTCTTCAGGTTTTCGAATTTTGTATTGGTTATCTTTTGAGGTTGAAGGCAGACATCACCGACATAATCTAAATATCTGAGTTGTCGGGAGAGGCATCATTTTATGCCTATTTTTGTGTTGAAACGTACACCGCTCTTATTATTCGGATTATTTTTATTATTATAGGGCACTCCCTTCATATTGATGAATAGTAGATACATGTTATAACCTGTGAGGTAGATCCATGCTTTTATATAGCCCCCAAATAAAAAGGTGTCCCTTCATTAATATATTAATTTATCATTGGGCGCCGTGTGTCTGTAGATTAAAATTTTGTATAATTATTTGGGTGGCAAGACTATTTAGCATAAATGTTCTACTAAATTTGTTCAGCCCCTTAGGCATTTTTATAGTCGAAGTGGCTATATTTTGGCTTTACAAAGTGGCTGGTATTCCAGACTATCGGCGGATAGGTTCAGTATACTGAATAGCCCCCATACGATGGTCACACGACATTTTTTGCAATTTTCAAGGTGAATATTTTGGGTTATCATTGGGTGGCATACCTTTCTAACAAAAATTATAAATATCGGTCTATATTGGATCCACACCCTCATAAATATAAGGTTCCACACCCTTAATAGGTATTTTTATAGGCGCATTTTTCAACCGAAGTGACTATATTTTAGCATTATAAAGTCGTTGAAATTTTACATTGTGGGACTTTAGTGAGTAGATCCATATATCTACATAGTGACCATACAAGGGTGACGTGGAATTTTAGATACGCTCAACGTACCAATTTAATTTTTCATTCGTAGGATTTGTAGATGAATGGTATAAAAATAAATAATTACAATTTGTATTATTTTAATTCGAAAATATATTTCGCTTTTGTTTTTTTTTTCAACATCATACAAATCACTCCATATTACACTACAATATTATCTAAAACATCTACAAAAGGCGTGAGATAACCACCATCATTAGAGCACCAATAGCCATACTGGAACCGGTAATAGCAGCACTACCACTCTTGGCATGATAGGATTGGAACCAATCCATCAATGGATCACGATGAACCTTCAACCAATTATTGTTTGCTTCAATGTTTGTCTTGACCGTGGACTCCAAATTGCTGGTGGCATGAGCGGTACCCTTAACCTTATCAACCAAAGCCAATAGACGTTTCTCTTGTTCGGCGTTCACAACATACTGGGACATACCACGCAAAGCTGTATCCAAAGGTTTACCCGAACCTCCATTCAAATTGCCATAAGCATTCCAGTATTGGTCGAGGAAATCAAAAGTGGCCATCAAACCGACCGATCCACGTGAGTAGACTGGATTGAGTATGGTGGTACGTTCAGCGGGGCGCAATTGGTTGCTTTGATCAATTGAACTTTCCAAATAGAATTGCAATTGCTTCTCGTTTTGGGAGCAACCCAACGAACTGATGAGCAAGCGACGGAATGTCGCATCGGAGGATTGTTCAAGGGTGCGGAAATAGTATTGGAACACATCATCTTCGGATTGTCTAAGACCATGGCAGAACACTTGAGTTTTAACATTGGGTTCAACGGGGGTACCCTGTTCCTTTAAATCCTTCAATTTATTGTTGGTATCCACGAGACAGCTCTTGACACCAGCCAAACAGGCCATATTGATGACCGAGTTGCGGGTGAATTTCTGCATATGTTGTTCACCATCAATGTCATTGGCACCAATTTTTTCATAGGCAGGAGCGATCATTTCAGCCAAGAAGTTTTGGAAATCCGAATATCTGGCATCACCATTCAAATAACGGTTGTAGACATTGATAATACCATTGACGGTGGACAAGGGGGCGTATTGATCTTCATTGGGCAAATAGGTGAACAAGTCCAAGAGAACGGAATGGGGTAAACGATTGGATAAAGTGAAACGATAGGCATCATTCATCAATTGGGCACGATTACGGGGATGAATCCTGTAAGGATTTTCGCGGAGACCCTCAGCAATAAGACGCCAATTTTCTTCATCGTAATTGATACGATAAAAACCAGTCGATTGTTTGTTCAAAATCAACCATTCATCCTTGCCCAAATTGGCCTTGACCTCTGTGCTGGGGACCTTCATCAAATAGTTGGTAGCTCTGGTATCACGGAAATCGGATTTCGATTTCGAGGCATAATTGAAGGGAACATACCAAGTTTTATCCGATTGCAATTTTTCATCGTTGAAGTAAGCCGTTTGGCTAACGGTGAAGGAGCCATCATCGTAATTACGTTTAACCGTCAACAGAGGGTAACCACCTTGACGTGACCAAGAGCCCATCATGGTGTCGATGTCTGCGGGCAGGACAAAGTTTTCTTCTTTGGCCGCAGTTTGAATGGCAGTGAAAAGCTGTTCTTCAACGGCACTGCTGTATTTGCTAAAATGAGAAAGGGATGCGAGAGAGAGAGAGGGTTCAATATGGACATTTAAATTTTTATAAGATGCTCAAATGTAGATTCAATAATTGGTTTAGAATGTTGATTTTCTAGCTACATAGAATGTATATAACGTTAAAATAAGAAGAATTAGAATCCAAAGCCATTTGGTTGCACCAAAGCCAAACATGATGTTGAAATCAGTTTATCTAGCCATAGTCGAATATTACTTTGGACTATTTGTCTACAATAATAATTTATTTAACATAGTTCATAATGCAATTACCGTCGTAAAAATTATCTACTATCGGCGATAATTAATTTACCATCGTAAAAAAGTTATCAGCTAGCGCAGAAAAATTATATTCTTAACTTATCAACAGTGCAGATAAATTTTCATAGCCAATTTTTCTAACATTGTAGACACTTTATCCATAGTCCTAGAAAATATATTCTTTAAAAACTCCAGGCCTTTAAAAGTCCTTTAAAAATATATCCTTAAAAAATCTATAATACTTGAAAAATATACTCTTAAAAATCCATAGTCCTTAAATAAATAAATATTTACAAAAGACATAATCCTTAAACATATCCTTAAAAAATTATCCTAAAAAACCCATAATCCTGGAAAAAATATGTCCTAAAAATCTATAAACCCTTGGAAAAATATATCCTAAAAATCCATAATTCTTAAAAAAATGTATCCTAAAAAGTCTATAATCCTTAAAACATATATCCTTAAACATCTATAATCCTTAAAAAAATCAACAACCCCTGGAAAAATATATCCTTAAAAAATCCATAATCCTTGAAAAAATATATCCTAAAAAATCAATCAACCATAATCCTTGAAAAAAATATATCCTAAAAATCCATAATCCTTGAAAATATGAATTCTAAAAAAAACTAAGAAATCCTTGAAAAGCATATCCTTAAAAAATCATAATCCTTGAAAATATAAATTCTAAAAAAAAACTATGTTGGTCAAAATCTTCTTTAAAAAATCCACGCCTATGTAGCCCTAAAAATTCTTCTTTAAAAAATCCACTCCTATGTTGGTCCTTGAAAAAAGTCTTCTTTAAAAAATCCACGCCTATGTTGGTCCTTGAAAAAATATTCTTTAAAAAATCCACGCCTATGTTGGCCCTTGAAAAAAGTCTTCTTTAAAAAATCCACGCCTATGTTGGTCCTTGAAAAAAGTCTTCTTTAAAAAATCCACGCCTATGTTGGTCCTTGAAAAAAGTCTTCTTTAAAAAATCCACGCCTATGTTGGTCCTTGAAGAAAATCTTCTTTAAAAAATCCACGCCTATGTTGGTCCTTGAAGAAAATCTTCTTTAAAAACTTTAAGCCTAAATAGTCCTTGAAGAAAGTCTTCTTTAAAACGCCACGCTTAAATAGTCCTTGAAAAAGGACTTCTTTAAAAAATCAACACCTATTATTTACAAAATCCGAATAATAAAACTTACTTGGCATCCAAATAGTTGTATAAACCTCTGCGGAAAACTGGATCAGTCAAGGCATTGTTCCACATGTGTAAGACGCAACCAGCCTTGGCATAGGATACATAATCATAGGAACGTTGAATTTCTGCAGGTGTTTGTACATAATGGGTCATGGGCCGGGGAGAACTGTTGGCATCATTTACCAAAGCCGATTGGTAATCATCGGTTTGGAATTGTTGCCAAACACCCCATTCAGGATAGGCCTAGGATATGAAATAACCAATTTTTATTCTCTGTCCAGTTATTCTCAATCCAGTTGGTCTGGAAAGATTTGCTTCACTTACATGATCAGTTGTCTTGTAGGATAAGAGAGTGGCGAAACCCTCCTTCAACCAGGTATAAGTCCACCACCTAACGGCTACATAATCACCGAACCAAAAATGACCCAATTCGTGAGCAATGATACTGGCAATAGAGGTCTGAGAGCCCACAGTTGAGGTTTCCTTGTTGTACAGCATATAGACTTCACGATACGTGGCCAAGCCCCAATTTTCCATAGCACCAGCAGCAAAATCAGGAATAGCAGCCTGATCCAATTTCGGCAACATGTAGGAAACATTTAAATATTCACCCAAACGTTCAACGATCAGCATACCCGAAACCAGGGCAAATTCTTGTTCATGTTTGCCACTGGGACGTGAGTAAATACGTTGGGGAATTCCACTCATAACCGCCTCGGTATATTCGAAATCGGATATAATGAAGGCAAGCAAATAGGTTGGCATAATGGGAGTGGTTTGGAAAACTGTGCGGCCAGAACTAAAAGGGGAGACAAGAGATATTTTCAAGGATGAAAAACTAAAGAGAGAGAGAGAAAATTTACGTTGATGCCTTTTCATCAACCGGCATGTTGCATATGGCGTTATAAGTTGGGCTGTGATTGATGATAATGGTGAAAGTGGCACGTTTGCTGGGCTCATCGTAACAGGGGAAACCGTGACGGGCATCGGTACTTTCAAATTGCGTGGTAGCCAAATATCTATTAAGAAAGAACAATTAATACAATTATATCCTGTCAAATTTGGGCCTAGGATTTGACGAGAGATCTACTCTCTACTCCTTTGAAATGGAGAAAAATTCATAATTTTGTTTTAAAACTCACCTCGTCTCTCCCTTTTCATCGGTATAGGTGGACAAATAGAAACCACCCATATCGGTACGCAGTTGACCCTCATATTCAATGGTGACTATCCATTTACTATCCTTTGGGAAGTTAACGTTAGTCTTACGTGTCAGGGTCAAAAATTCCCGTTGCTGTTCGTAATCGATGTTCAAATCTTCGCTAGCCGAGGTGGCACTCTTTATCTTAGCCGATTTTATGGTCAATTGACGGGCGTGGAGGACCAAACTTGTGGTTGGTACAACAACGGTTATATCAATTTTAACCACACCAGTAAATTTCCTAGTACCATCATGGACATTTGTGGTCAATTCAACTTCATAATGCACAGGGACGGTATCGTTGGGCAGGCGATAGTTCAGCACATCAGCACGTTCCTCCAAACGAGCGAGAGGATTTTCCAAATTTCCCGTCTCCACATACAATGGTGGCACTCCACGAATACCCGCTTCAGCGGATCCTGCCGACAGCAGGAGTACGGCTGCTAGGCCAACAAATAGAATTTTGACGAAACTCTGCATGTTGTTTCACGTTCAAATTACAACATGCCAATGATCTTTAGAATGTCGTTGTAGCCATTTCGTTAACTTGGACGTCCGACGATCACCCTGCAGACATAATAAAATCAATTATTATTGGCCAGGTTATCAAGGAATACTGATATTTTTCTGTTGTTAATTTTGGATTTCGGTATATCATCGGGCATAGTATTCGTTTCCCATCGATGCCATTTGTTAGTCTTCATCGAATACATCGTTATTGGTGTGTAGATGCATGGCTAGATAGCCATAGTCGCCTGTAATAAATGCCAATCGAAGTTATTTTAACGAAATATATTTTTTTTTATTTTCCAATATTAATTTTTATTGCCCAAAAAATGAAAAACATAAACTTGTTTGATATTTTCAAAAAGGTATAGAGTGTTTATTCACTTTTGCTACCACTTCGAGCAGTATGGCGGTTGAGTTTTCTTTTTCTAGATTAATTTGTTAAGAAATCATTGTATGCAGTTAGATTTGCATTTATTTTAGACACTGATTAGAAAACAAATCTAAATTGGTACTCAATATTATCAAGTTGAAAGTGGGTTAAATGTAGCAACGGTCTTAGACGTGAAAAGCAGGAGCGTAGCTCGGAAACTATTAGTAAAAATAGTTAAAGGACTCATTAAATTTTCAATTAGTTGGGGAAAAGGGAAAAAATGCTATCGGATTGCCTACCGTATGGGATTTTTTATTATATATGGGAGGTGCAATTGAGGTTCAAATTCATAAATCTTCAACGAAATGATGATTTCCTACCGTGTTTGAGGATGGCCAGAGGTAATAAGACCGAGATTTGCGTTGATGTGTGCCAATGGGTGGGATATAGTTCTATTATTTTAATTCAAAATCTTACTTCGACATTCATCCGGATCTACTGCAACTGCCCCTAAAGAACGCAACAGTGTGGGAATAGTTATCATTGTCTAACTTAAAAAATGACCAAGTCGCATTTTTAATTGTAATCTACATTTTTGTTTTGAACTAGCATATGCCCGCTACTTCGTTAGCGAATGAGGGATATATTTTTAAACATGTATTAACATATTACATTATTTTCACAGAAAACTGCATATGCCAGAAAAACTAAGCAATCCACCCATTAATATCGACCATATCGACCACCATGATTCGAGCTCTTAAAGTTCACCCAAATCCAAATTGTACAAAATTTAGTTCCATTTAGCACACATTATTTCCATGACTACCCATCTCAACCATCCAACAAAACTTCCTGTATACCCCGATCCTACACCCCCACAATGATTCCAAATTCAAATTTCAGGATTTCAAGTCTATTTGTTCACCCACAATTTAAATTGAACTAAATTTAGTACACAGTAGTACGAATTTCCAATACTTCCTACTTAACACAAACCCACACCACAACAATGATCCTAAATCCAAGTTTCAGAATTCCAACTCTATCGGTTCACCCACAATTCAAATTGTACGAAATTTAGTACACAGTAGTACGAATTTACAAAACGTCCTACTTAACCCAAACCCACACCCCCACAGTGATCCTAAATCCAAGCTTCAGGATTCCAGCTCTATCGGTTCAAATTGTACCAAATTTAGTACACAGTAATACGAATTTTCAAAACCTCCTACACTCCCAAACCTACACCCCCACATTGATCCTAAATCCAAGTTTCAGAATTCCAACCTTATCGATTGGATTCCAAACTTCATTGTTTCCGCTCTATCTGTTCACCCAAATCCAAATTTTACCAATTATAGAACGATTTAGTACTTTTCTACACATCAGTAAAAATTTTCAAAACTACGTACATATCCAATGTCTACACTCCAACGGTAATGTTAATTTGAAATTTCAGGATTCCAGCTCGATTTGTACCTCCAAAATAATTTTGCACCAAATATAGTACCATATAGTACTTTTCGTACACATGCTTACTTCTCCACCTTAATTCACACTCCAAATTTCAAGTTTTTAGCGCTATCCCTTCACATGCTACAGCATTGTACTAAATTGAGTACATTTTCGTACTTTTCGGATAGTTTAGTTCGAATTTCCAAAAATCCTTTGGTACATCTATCCTACACTCCATCAACGATCAACAATCCAAATTTCAGAGTTCTAGCTCCATCGGTTCGCCAAATATAAATGGTATCATATTTATTACTTTTCGTACCGTTCTAGTACAGCCTTACCTTTGGACCAAAAATACCACTCACCCAAAATTTCAAGATTCTAGCGTCTGGGCGTTGATGAATCGTTAAATCAGTCAGTCAATCACTTTACTCTTTTATTTATTAGTATAGATTTGTGAAAATTGTTTTCATGGTTTTTTTAGGAATATATGGGGAGTTTTTTCGATTTTCTATGGGCGTAGATTTTTTAAGGCTCTAATCGTGTTTCCAAGTGCGGAAAATCGACCATATAACTGTTTTAACCACTTACAATTGTTCAGAAACGGCCAGAATTGCCCAACAGGATAGTTGTCGTGTTTCACGTGTTCAAATTCTCTAAAGGTTTTATTTTTTCCTAATATGCTGACTTTTAAGGCGGATTATTAAAGGATTATTTTTAAAGTCAAAGACAAAAAGGAAATAATATAATACATTCTGTATATGACCGATTGTTCCCCAATTTGAAATCTCGATTCTACCACAAAGGTAATTACTATAGTGTTTTCATTTTTTACTAGTCTTCCAAACACATATTTTTATTTTATCCATAGTTGTAACCCCACATATCCCACAGTCAGGAAACTCACACTGGAGTATCACCTCAAGTTGCGCAACATAAACTGTAGTAAAGATTATTGCTCCGATAAGTTTTGCAAGTTATTTTAACCTACAGCTTGTCGAACATCACGAGAGTGGCTGGACTAAGAGTGGCAGGAAGTTTATTATGCATGTCGGAATAATATGCATACTCTGAATTCCGCCCTCGAAGCCCACTCCCTTTCACAGCAGCTGAAGAGTATAAATTGCATATCCTCTCAACTGATATTGGGTAATATGCAGAATGTTTGTCCTGACAAGCTAAATTAACATTCTCCAGAAGATATGTAAAGGGTGATTTTTTTGAGGTTAGGATTTTCATGCATTAGTATTTGACAGATCACGTGGGATTTCAGACATGGTGTCAAAGAGAAAGATGCTCAGTATGCTTTGACATTTCATCATGAATAGATTTACTAACGAGCAACGCTTGCAAATCATTGAATTTTATTACCAAAATCAGTGTTCGGTTCGAAATGTGTTTCGCGCTTTACGTCCGATTTATGGTCTACATAATCGACCAAGTGAGCAAACAATTAATGCGATTGTGACCAAGTTTCGCACTCAATTTACTTTATTGGACATTAAACCAACCACACGAATGCGTACAGTGCGTACAGAAGAGAATATTGCGTCTGTTTATGAGAGTGTTGCTGAAGACCGTGAAATGTCGATTCGTCGCCGTTCGCAGCAATTGGGTTTGTGTTATTCGACCACATGGAAGATTTTACGCAAAGATCTTGGTGTAAAACCGTATAAAATACAGCTCGTGCAAGAACTGAAGCCGAACGATCTGCCACAACGTCGAATTTTCAGTGAATGGGCCCTAGAAAAGTTGGCAGAAAATCCGCTTTTTTATCGACAAATTTTGTTCAGCGATGAGGCTCATTTCTGGTTGAATGGCTACGTAAATAAGCAAAATTTCTGCATTTGGAGTGAAGAGCAACCAGAAGCCGTTCAAAAACTGCCCATGCATCCCGAAAAATGCACTGTTTGGTGTGGTTTGTACGCTGGTGGAATCATTGGACCGTATTTTTTCAAAGATGCTGTTGGACGCAACGTTACGGTGAATGGCGATCGCTATCGTTCGATGCTAACAAACTTTTTGTTGCCAAAAATGGAAGAACTGAACTTGGTTGACATGTGGTTTCAACAAGATGGCGCTACATGCCACACAGCTCGCGATTCTATGGCCATTTTGAGGGAAAACTTCGGAGAACAATTCATCTCAAGAAATGGACCGGTAAGTTGGCCACCAACATCATGCGATTTGACGCCTTTAGACTATTTTTTGCGGGGCTACGTAAAGTCTAAAGTCTACAGAAATAAGCCAGCAACTATTCCAGCTTTGGAAGACAACATTTCCGAAGAAATTCGGGCTATTCCGGCCGAAATGCTCGAAAAAGTTGCCCAAAATTGGACTTTCCGAATGGACCACCTAAGACGCAGCCGCGGTCAACATTTAAATGAAATTATCTTCAAAAAGTAAATGTCATGGACCAATCTAACGTTTCAAATAAAGAACCGATGAGATTTTGCAAATTTTATGCGTTTTTTTTTAATGTTATCAAACTCTTAACAAATCACTCTTTAGTTAGGAAGTACTCGTATAAATCAACATGTAGGAATGTCTCATTAAGGGAACCCCACTCCTGCCAGCCATTCTCGATTAAAATGGAAGTGCATTACATTGAGGACTTGAAACTTTGGATATAAGCCCTTGAAGACTGGATGGATATGAAAATGAATTAAAAAAAAAAATTTGTTGTTGTTGTTTTATAGTAGTATTTTTTTAAAAATAACAAAAACTCCTTCTCTTAAACGGCGGGCATAATTTCCAATCACTTGAACGTCCGCTTCCAAACACTCAAACCTAACCATGTCCGCCTTTTGGAATCACGATGGCACTTACAGTATTTAAATTATAGCTTCGAAAATTTGCACATTATTACTACTCCAAAGATGTTTGGTATGTCTTGCTATTGCCCTCACATAATGGCTCCCTGAACATTCGGTATTTTGGAGATTTTTGGGAACTTTAAGATACTCCAGTATAACAAAAGCATACCCCATAAAATACAAATTTTATAATTTTTCACATAAAAGTGGACAACCATTAAAGCAACCATGCCTATTTGTTGGCCAGATTCTCTTCTTCATGTCATATATCATAATCATTATTTTAAGGCGATCAGTCGTAAATCACGACCGGGCTAAATTTTTGGTCCAAATCGGATAATCTTGGAACTTTTATATAAGGACGACTATATATCAGGGTGCGCAAAAATTCGCTCGCGAATGATTCAAAACACATTCTCTTCGTTTTGTACTCATTTTAAGAATGAATTTATGGCGATAAATTCTTTACCGAACGAGCATTCGCCAAAGAATGTTCGCAAACACATAATAAACGAGTGAGAGCACACAACAACGTTCGTTCGTTTCGTTTGGTGGTTGAAATTCTTTCTGACATGCTCTCACGAATGAAAACAAAAATTCCCGAATTCTCGAGAATGCTCAAAACGGCAACAACAATAACAACAAACGTTCGTGAATGAAAACAACCACCGATCAGTCTCGTTTCAGCTGCAAGAGTTACTCTCGCACACTTTGTGTCTGTGTGACCAAACAAATGCATATGTATATGTTGCCGACCGCTGTATACACAACATTCTTTCATTGTTTGTGTGTGTTTTTTATGATATTTTTGTTTGTTGTTTTTAACCAATGATGGGCAAAATTTCTCTTAAAAAATGTTTAAGGGAAAATAAAAACATGAATTATTCTTCGGAATTTATTAAATTTAATTTAGTTCAAAAAATAAATTCGTTAAAAAAATTTCATTAATGTTTATTTTTGTTTAAACGTCAAAAAAATGTAAAGAGAACCCATCAACGCTAGTGTGCAAGTCTGCCCAACTATGTTTTTAACAGTTTTTTTGTTTTTTGAGTTTTTCAAAAGAATATTATTCAGCAAATAATGCTGAATTCTAATGGGGTTGCAACGTTACCCCAATATTCGTTATTTTGATATTTTCGGAAACATTGCATTGAAAACTGCTATTGTTTTTGGGTTAATAAATCTTCCTAGAAAACACTGTATCAGTGCACTTTTTTGTGTATTTCTTATTCTACATTTTTATTCCGTTCTGTTCGGACTCATATTCATATAGATATAATTATAGTAGCGCCAGCTATATGTCCTTGCCTGGGACTCTTTAATTTATTTGTATATACCTAAAATACTATAGGGTATCATTACGGTCCGACTTTCCTTATTGAGTGTCCATCCAGAACTCTTGAGGAAAAAAAATAATATTAGGTGCGAATGCCTTTAATATGTGACTTCTATTGAACAATATAGACTGTTATATAATATTTGAAATTTGCAGACATTACCCAATAAGCATGCAAACAAAATTTTATTATCGAACGGCGATAAGTTCGTCGTCAGTATATAGAATCGATTATAAATAACAATTTATGGCCTAATTGAAAATAATTTAAAACAGCAGCAAATCTCAAAAAGTAAAAACAAACAGTTATTTTATTATATTTTTTATTAATAATATCAAAAAATCTCAAACTTTATAACAAGTAAAATATATAAAATTTATTACACTATACATAATTATTTAAAATAGCCGAGAGATAACCAAAAACAAAAGAGTACCAATGGCCATGCTGGTGGAACCACTGATAACAGCACTACCACTCTTAATGTTGTACGATTGGAACCAATTCATCAAGGGATCACGATTACTCTTCAACCAATTTGTGTTGGCTAGTATGTTAGCCTTAACATTCGTTTCCAAATTGGAACTAACATAGCTCGATGTTTTCACCTTATCGATTAAAGCCAAAAATTTAGTCTCCTGTTCGCTATTCACAACATACGAAGACATGCCATGCAAAGCATCATCCAATGGATTACTACCACTAAATCCAGGCTCCAAGTTAGCATATTCATCCCAATGTTGATCCAAGAAATCGATAGTGGCCATTAGTCCAACCGAACCACGTGAATAGACTGGACTGAGAATGGTGATACGTTCTTGGGTACGCAATTTATTATCCTTGTCAATGGAACTTTCCAAGAATGTCTTCAATTGTTGTTCGTTTTGCGAACAGCCCAGAGAGGAGATGAGAACACGACGGAATGCCTGATCCGAAGATTCCATGAGTTCATTGAAAACATATTGGAAGACAGTGTTGCCGGATTGTTTTAGGCCATTGCAGTAAATTTGACTTTGTACATTGGGCTCGATGGCAGTACCTTTCTCTACCAAATCTTTCAATTTGTTGTTGGTCTCGGTGAGACAGCTTTGGATGCCAGCCAAACAGGCCATATTGATGACAACATTGCGGGTATATTTCTGCATATGATGTTCGCCGGGTATGTCGTTGATGCCCAACTTTTCATAAATGGGAGTGACAACATCGGCGACAAAACTTTGGAAATCCCAATATCTGGCATCACCGCTCAAATAACGATTGTATACGGTGATAATACCATTAACCGTGGACCATGGAGCATATTGATCTTCTTTGGGCAAATATTTGAACATTTCCAAAAGTATGGCATGTGGCAAACGATTAGAGGCACTAAAACGATAGGCATCATGCATCAATTGAGCCCTATTGCGTGGATGAATTTTGTAGGGGTTCTGGATGAGACCCTCAGTAATCAGTTTCCAATTCTCTTCATCGTAATTGATGCGATAATAACCAGTAGATTGTTTATTCAAAATCAACCATTCATCCTTAGCCAATTTGGCTTGGACTTCAACGGTGGGAACATTAAGTAAATAATTGGTAGCTTCAGTATCACGGAAATCGGATTTCGATAGTGAGGCATAATTGAAGGGTATATACCAAAGTTTATCCGATTGGGTTTTTTCATCGTTATAGAAAGCCTTTTGGGTGACCGTGAAAGAACCATCGGTGTAATTACGTTGAACTGTCAACAGAGGGTAACCACCTTGACGTGACCATGAACCAATCATAGCAGAAATTTCCGCTGGAATGGCGTAGTTTTCTTCTTTGGCAGCATTTTGTATGGCCACAAATAGTTGATCTTCAACGGCGCTGCTGTATTGGCTGCAAAGAGAGTTAGAGAAAGAGAGAGAGATGATGTTAGTTTTGATCACCTAATTTTATCTAACACTTTAAATTAAATTTATCCAAACTTTCAAATTAGCTAACAATATCGATACGCTATGTTGCCTTATAATTAATTTATCTGACATCATATATAATTTATCTAACCGAAGATAATTTTATTTGTATTTGTTTAATTTAACATCGTCATTTTAAAGAAACATGGATTTTAATTTATCTAATATTAATAATGGCGTTAAAACTTAATAAGGAGGCTAAAAAAGATAAAGTTAGATAATTTATCTATGATTTTTGATACCTCATATATACATTATCTGACTTTATCGTTAAGCTATCTTACCTATTAATTAATAGATCCGACATCATAGATAATTTATCTAGACATAGATGATTTATCTAACACCCTACATATTTCATTTGACCTAGAAATTTATCTAACGCTATAGATAATTTATATTGCATCGTAAATATTGATGCTAACATTGTACATAATGTAACAAATACTATCGCAGATAGTAGTTGTTATATTATCTAAAATCGCAGATAAATTATCCATCATCTCAATAGCTTAGATAACTCATCTACATTCGTATATCTACTTATATAAAGTGGTAGATAATTTATTAATGAAAATAAATTTATTAAACATTCTAAACAATTTATCTATCATCTTATATAATTTATCTATGATCTTAGATAACTTATCTATCTTTTATGATTTAGATAACTTATCTACCTTCTAAGATAATTTATTTAACACCTTAGTTTGATAATTTTTTAGCATCGCGGGAAATGTATCTACAGATAATTTATCTATGATATTTATATATATTTTGTAAAATTTACCACCATTTATCTATCATCGTAGATATTTTTTTCTATGACTTTAGATTATTTATCTAACCAATAAAATGATTTATATAAATTTTATACGTGACTAACGTCAACCTACCATGACAGATAATTTATCTATGGTAATAATATGCATTTGTTAACAGTCTAAACTATTTATCTATCATCGTAGATAATTTATCTAAGATCTTAGATAACTTATCCAACTAATAAAATAATTTATATAAATAATTTACAGTGTTAGATAATACAAAAACGTCGTATATAATTTTTATATATAATATTAATTTTTATATAATTTATCTATTATAGAGCTATTATAAGTATCTGTTTAAGGGATTTTTCATCAAAGATAATGTGTTAATTATCTTAGATATCCTATCTTGTACTAATCACATTAGTATTCTATATGTGGAAACTTTATAAAGACACATATTGTAGATAATCTATAGACCTACTATTAATGATAAATTGTCTATCATTTATAAGTAAAAAATTAATACTGTCGCAGGTAATTTATCTAGAATTTATCTTGTACCCATTCAACCCTATGGTCGATTATTTGAACTTACTTGGTATCCAAATAATTGTGTAGACCACGTTGGAAAACTTTATCGGTCAAAGCATGACTCCACATGTTCAAGACCGAAGCAGACTTGGCATAGGAGATACTATCATAAAGGCTCAAGATTTCCAAAGGTTTTTGGACATAATGGGTCATGGGACGGGGTGAGTTGCCAGCATCAACATTCAAGGCCGTTTGATAGTCATCTGTGTGGAATTGTTGCCAAATACCCCATTCAGGATAGGCCTAAGAATAAAAAAAAAAAAAACAAAATTATGAAATCAATCAACGTCCTAAAACCTCCCGAATTTCCAACTTACAGCATCCGTAGCCTTATAAGCGAACAGGGCAGCAAAACCTTCCTTCAACCACAAATAAGTCCACCAATGAACAGCAACATAATTGCCAAACCATTGATGACAATATTCATGGGCAATAATACTGGCAATATTCGTCTGGGTAGCCACAGTCGAAGTTTCCTTATTGTACAACATATACTCTTCACGATAGGTGGCCAAACCCCAATTTTCCATAGCACCAGCAGCAAAATCAGGTATCGCCGCTTGATCCACTTTCGGCAACATAAATTCAACATTGTAATATTCAGCCAAACGTTCCAAAATCAGCATACCCGATACCAAAGCCCATTCTTGTTCGTGTTTACTTTCGGGACGTGAATAGATACGCTGGGGTATACCATTCAAAACACCTTCGGTATATTCGAAAGCCGATACAATAAAGGCAACAATATAGGTGGGCATGTTGACGGATTTTTGGAATACTGTTCTGCCAGGACTAGAGGGCGAGGGGAGAGAGTAAGAGGAAAGAATCGATTGAAAGGTGATGTAAAGAAATTTTGCTAGGGAAAAACTTACGTGGAGGCAGCTTCATTAACAGGCATGTTGGAGATGGCATTATAGGTGGGGCTGTGATTGATGGTAATGGTGAAAGTGGCACGCTTATTGGGTTCATCGTAACAGGGGAAAGCATGACGGGCATCGGTACTTTCAAATTGGGTGGTAGCCAAATATCTGTAAAAAATAAAAGCATATTTTAATTAATTTCAATAGTAGTTATTCGACGGAGTGTGAAAATATTGGCATAGCCTCATATAAGGGTCCCTATTCAGTATAGGCATTTTTGAGATCCCAAGCAGCTTTGTCCTACAAACGTATATGAGATTTAGTATTATAGGTAATGTGAGGATGAAATATCTCCTGTCAAATTATGAATAATGGTCTATGTATTTACTGGGTATTTTCCTAGATAAGTGACTATAATTTCACATTTTGGGATCTTGGAGGAGAAAATATCTTCTAAGTGAAAATTGCACTACAAATTTTGAAATAGACCCCAATTAAATGTCCTGCTATTAAATACCATCTTGCAGAAAATAATGGCTAGTGTATTGACACGCGTCCAGTACCAAAATTACTGCCTAATTAAGGTATTTTTAAGGTCCTAGCCGCATTATCCTACCAAAGTGGCGGGAATTTGGCATTCCGGGCTCTGAGAGAATAAAAAGCCCTCTGACCTTTCAATATAAGTCAATATGACAATATTTATTTGTCAGCCATATAAGTATACCGCACCATTTAAGGCATTCCTAAAGTCCAAACAAAAACCCTTAGAAACCGCTCGAAAAAGACTTCGTATAAAGTTCCCTTTGACTTTAAATATTCTGAAAGTCCTTGCCGAATGTCCCTAATGAAAAGAATGATAGGTCCCCAAACAAAAGTCTAGCCACATTTTTGGCATGTTGAAGGACACTTTAAATATTCTGAAGGTCCCTGCTGAATTACCTTACTAAAGTGACTGTTATTTTGTTGATATCCGATTCACAGGAAATATAGGTCCCCAACAACAGTCCAGCCACATTTTGGGTATATTGAAGGTCCGCTATAAATATTCTGAAGGTCTTTGCCAAATTTACCTACTAAATTGACTGTGATTTGGTTGATTTTTTGGGATTAAGGAAATATAGGTTCAAACTAAAGTACCTGACAGCAAGACAACACAAATCTTCTTTCGAAGCTCTAAGCAAAGTCTCCAATAAAAGGAATTGAAGCAAGCCGCCACATCTACTCTACCAGGGGTTCACGAACACCGAATGGAAGTGACAAACATTGATCTACAGTGAAGTTCATTGGTTGTCAGTCGATGTATGTATCTGTAGAAGCTCTTCCTTAAAACCATCTAAAGTGGCGGACGCTATTCAGAGTGTGCCGTGCCATCAGTATCAACATCTAGGTCTTCTGCATATCTGATAAAATAAGCAGTAAACAACTGTGAAAATCTGAAGTATCCTGCATCCTTGAGTTCGGAAAGACCGATGAGTGGCAATCATTAACAAATCTGATCCCAATGGGTTCATCAGCGATTTTTGGTTGTCAGGCGATCGATATCTTTAGAACATTATTCCTAAAACCTTCCAAAGTTGCGGACACGAAGCAGAATGTGCTTGTGACACAAGTGTCGTCTTATAGGTTTTCTGGACCAAACCCCAACCACAAGCAGTAACTGTGAGGAAGATGAGTTCTACAAATGAACAGCGAATCTACGAAGAACCCTACAGCCAGGAGTTCCGAAAGACCGATGTTTGACAATCATTGAAAAATCTGATCCCGATGGGTTCATCAGCTGCGCTTTTTGGTTGTCAGGCGATCGATATCTGAAGAACCTCTTCCCTAAAACCTTCCAAAATGGTGGACACGAAGCAGAATTGGCTCGTGACAAATGTGTGGTCTTCTAGATCTACTGGATCAAACCTCAATCGCAACCAGTAGCTGTGAGAAGGATTTGCTCTTCAAATAAACATCGAATCTACGAAGAACCCTTTAGGCAGGTGTTTCGAAAGACCTATGAGTGGCAATCATTGACAAATCTGATCCCGATGGGTTCATCAGCGAAGCTCTTTGGTTGTCAGGCGATCGATATCTGAAGAACCTCTTCCCTAAAACCTTCCAAAGTGGCGTACACGAAGCAGAATGGGCTCGTGACAAATGTGTCGTCTTCTAGATCTACTGGACCAAACATCAATCACAACCAGTAGCTGTGTTCTTCGAATAAACAGTAATTCTACGAAGAAACCTGCAGTCAGGTGTTCCGAAAGACCGATGAGTGGCAATCATTGACAAATCTAATCCAGATGGGTACATCAGCGAAGCTCTTTGGTTGTCTGGCGATCGATATCTGAAGAACCTCTTCCCTAAAACCCACCAAAGTGGCGGACAGGAAGTAGAATGTGCTCGTGAGAAAAGTGTCATCTTCTAGATCTTCTGAACCAAACCTCGATCACAACCAGTAGCTGTGAGGAGGATGTGCTCTTCAAAAAAACAGCAAATCTACGAAGAACCCTGCAGCCAGGATTTCCGAAAGAACTATGAGTGGCAATCATTGACAAATCTGATCCCGATGGGTGCATCTGAAGAACCACTTTCCTAAAACCTGCGAGGAGAATGTGCTCGTGACAAAAGCGTCGTCTTCTGGACTAAACCTGTGAGGAGGATTTGATCTTCAAATAAATAGTGCAGTTCCGAAAGAAGGAGAAGTGACAATCATTGACAAATCTGATCCGGATGGGTTCATCAGAGACCTTCCGATGTCGCGGACACGAAGCAGAATGAGCTCTAGACAAAAGTGTCGTCTTCTAGATCTTCTACAACCAGTAGCTGTGAACAGGAGAAGACGCAATGGTCTCAGAATTCAAAAAACGCAGCAAGCTTCTCAGCCAGGAGTTCCTAAGAACTCCCCATGGATAGATAATTGGTTGTCAACCGAAAGGTATATGAAGGACATCTTCCGAAAAAGTGGATCGTAATGTCATTTGGGAAGATTTTAAGGTGTCGATCGTAGAGGGCGATACCGTGCGGAATGTTAACTTCGGTGCAGTTTCCACCAGACCTTATGGGACTGGAAAAAATACTGGAATTGGCATGAGAGGCAAGGCAATTTGGGACTTCTCGGTCCACTCCATCTACCCTATATAAAGCGAACAATAATATCTGTGTTTTATTTCATAGATCTCCACACACCACACGCTGAGGTTATATATCTGTCACCAACATCGACTGACACTATGTTCTATACAGATTTAGTATCGATTCGACAGACGAAGTATTTTTGAGCCGACTATTTAAATCAAGATATAATTATAATTCGCTAATCTATCCTAAATTTGGTGATAATCGGGCTTTTCAATTGACCTGTTATTGTTCTGTCGATTAATTCATATTGTTTTTCCACTTTTCCAACTCACCTTGTATTACCATCAACATCGGTATAGGTGGACAAATAGAAACCACCATTGTCCGTACGTAATTCACCTTCATATTCCAGTGTGACAGTCCATTGAGAACCCTCCGCAAAATTGACATCAGTTTTACGGCTCAATGTTAAAAATTCTCTCTCCAGTTCATACTGAAAACTCAATTCTTCACTGCCCGTGGTGGCACTTTCAATTTTAGCCGATTTAATCGAAAGCTGACGAGCATGCAGAACCAAAGTTTTGGATGCCTCTACAATGGTTACATCAATTTTGACGGTACCTGTAAATTCTTTAGTACCATCATGAACATTAGTGGTCAATTCAACGTCATAGTGTGTGGGTAGAGTATTATTGGGCAAACGATAATTCAGATCATCGGCACGCGCATCCAGGCGACGATTTGGATTTTCCAAATTTCCCGATTCACGATACAATGGCGGCAGGCCATGGATACCAGCCTGAGCAGGTCCTGCCGAAAGGAGAACGGCAGCTAGGCCAACGATTAGAATACCGACGAAACTCTGCATGTTGTTTCACGGCAGAAATACAACATGCCATTGAAGACCATAGCCAGTGGCTTGCCATTTTATAAACTTGAGGTTCCGCCCCTTCACTACCATTCAACACACACATAATAAAATAATATAGGCCATAAACAATAGCCCCGTTATCAATCCATGAATTCAGATTTATTTCTACGTTTGGGCCTGTTGATATTGGCTATAATTTATTTAATCAGCTATTATCTTCAAAAATGTCCAACCGATATCGATTATAATGTACGCGGAATAGCCGTATCGCCAATTTGCGGGACAGGAAATTTGACATCATATGACAGGTGCTAACAAAATTTCAATTTGTAGATAGACGATCCGATAGCCTTGTATAATTAAATTTGTTGATCAGATAGGTATTTTTAAATGGAAAACCCTTGTACTCTTTGGGTTCAATGAAGCTTTTTTCTTATATTATCTTCAAACACACACATATTGAAATAAATTTCAAAATATTGGCTGATATTTCGAAATCGAAAGCTCTTTGTTGATTTATTTGTGCAACCGTTACACTCAACCAGCTCTAATCACCAATATGGCGGGGTGTAGTTATATATTTTATTTATTATTTCTCTAGAGTAATAGGTAAACAAGAAAAATGTGAACCCACATTTATATGTTCGCCGCACGTTTGATTTGCAAATATGGGAATTGATACTTCATCTTATCAGAAATTAGAAAACAAATGTTATTTTAAAAACGTGACAATATCTTGGTCTATGTACATTAGGGTGGTAATAGAAAAATAAATACAAAAACTAGTCAGTTAATCAAATTCGTAATCATTTGCTCTTTATTCGAACATGGTACTCTCCAACACCGAAACATTTTTAAAATTATTATCTGAAAGGTTGGATCCACAAGCGCGGATTTTTTAAAAAAGCAGTACCCACATTTTTTTAACCACAGGCGTGGATTTTTTAAAAATATTGTTTTTTTTTAGGTAAAGTTACCACAGTAGCTGATTTTTTAAAAATATTTTTTAGATGAAGTAACTATCGCAAAAAGTACCCATCGCTCATGAGAGTATATACCCTTTGTTGCGACAAAAATGTGTCTCATCAAAATATTGATTTTAAAACCGAAGTTTCTCTGGACCAAATCCGTTTCAGACAATTTGGAGTCGATTTACAAATGTCCGCCCGTATTTGTGTATGTTTGGCTGACAGGTGCGCAGAATAACTCTCGAAAGCAGTAGCCGATTTCATCCAAACTTTCCACGTCGTAATATTTATTCTAAACTCATGTTCGAAGATAGGGAATACCTCCCTCAGAAAATGGTAAACATTTTACCGAAAATTGATTTTATCATGCTATCATATTTGAACCAAACTTTGAACAACCCAAAATGTTCATTTAACCTTTATAATGTTGGGAAATTGGACGTATCGGCCCATACCTTCTAGCACCTCCCCTTCAAATAGTAAAGATTTTGTAAACTTGTAAATCTCATTTGAAGCGAACTGAATATCCATTTTCACCCCAACTTTACACATCGTAAAATTTATACCTCCCTCACAAAATGTCAAAGTCTCCAATATTGCCCGAATTCTGCACATCGTCGTATTTTTATCAATTCTAATGGACCCATTGGTCCTAGGGGAATATCGGACCACTCCTCTATCGCAAAGTGATCAATTTTTTTTTTTCGAAAATACATTTTATAATATCATGCGAACGGACTCTGCGCTATTATCTCCCCCTCTAAACGGCATTTGAACTTTTTGCCAAGTTAACCTCCTTATGAGGATGTATTCGACATATATGTAAAGGAATTGATGTTTCTTTGTCGACCTCGATTTTTTGATCCTTGAAGATTCCATTCAAACGTTATTTTAGTTAAGCTACGGACATTTTTCCTTCAGTTGTGGTTCATCCACCTCAATTTTTTAAGTTTCATCAGTGTTTTTTTTTTTTTTTTTTGAGTCTTGTGTTCCAGAGATATCATACGCATAATCAAAGTCTTCGAGCTCTCGTAATATATTCCACGTTATACCATTTATCTTAGAGCAGCTGTTCACAATTGTATTGGATGTTGTAATGAATGAAGCATTACAACATCCAATACAATTGTGAGCAGCATTGGTGCGAATCAATTGGTTTACGTTCCCGTTGTGAAGAATTGAAAGTTCCGCATACTCATACATCGCTCTTACTATTAGGATTCTTCCATTGGCAGTCCATCTGATAGTGTCGAAATATTCCTGAAGTCAATTAACAGTATATTCAAATTCTACAGATTATTCTATAATGACTTGTAAGGTGTTGCCCTGATCCACATAGCTTATATTTCGTCTGAAGCAAGTCTGTTCACTCCCAGAACGTTTTCTAGTAAGGTTATTTTTACATTTTTGCCATTTTTGGGTAAGTTCACAAAATTCTCTTTTTGGTCGAAAATATGGGATTTTCTGTTGAAAATCATAATAAATTGAAATCGAAAATGGAGGACAGTTCCCTTTACAACTTAGTTGACAGATGTCGTATTCCAGTTCCATTCTTTTGAAACCACGATATAACTAATTCGAAGTGATCTATCCATCTCTGAATTTAATGATCATTGTTATTAGTCTACCATTATGATGATTTGTTGCTTGACTTCTGATACACCTTGTATTTATGAGACCATCTATTGTCCGGTGTATCTTTCTCGGGTTGTAGTGGCTGATTTGCCAGATTTTCTAGGAACATGCACTTATATTTTCTCTTCGCTTTCTTTACTTGTTATGGACACTGCTCCCTTGTGATATCACTGTTATTCTGTTCCATCTGAATCCTTGTTAACCCATGTTAACAACATTTGACATTTTTTTTAAGATTAATTAATTTTTATTCGTTTAGTATTGATTTCGAACTTGGCAAATAAAAATAAACTGGGAACGAACTCAACATGTGACTCCTGTTTAATATTTCTACAAAGACATTTTTAATGTCTATGGGCCTGAACGGGTTAAGTTCCCTTCATTGAGAGATTAAGTTCTAAAGTATTGTATGTATTGTATTGTAAGTATCCAGATTTTCCCATGTTTTTTTACTACACCCAATGTTTCTACTTTCCATGTATGATGTAGGTTTATTGATAGATTTTCGTATATTTCTGTGGACAGGGTGTTATCCTCCCCTTGTGCGTCTTTTTGGGCATTTCTATTTGTTAAAATCCAAACTCATTGCTCTGATAATCCTTAACATAATATTAATAAAATTTCACGTATATAGTATTCCTTCAAAGCTCTGCGGTTCTCTAAACTTGGTAGATCTTGATATTTATGTCAAACAGAGCTACTAACTCATATAATTTTGAAAAATCAAAATGCGAATTAGAACAGGAATGAGTCATTGAATTTATTTAACAAAACGGTCCCAAATAACATACAAAGAAACAAATAATTATTTCCGAAATCTTCAAATTCTGCGGATATCAAAGCAAATCTGTTTCCGGTCCAAAGGAGTAATTTTGGCAGACATTGTGAATGCAAACTATCTACAAATAAATTCAAATTTGTATAAACATAATAAAACAAATCCATAGCATTCGATTATTCTAACTGGTCTTTGTGGCAAATTATCATAATCATAAATTAAATATTAATCATAATCTTATCATAAGGATTTACATAATGGGGAACCACCAATTATGCATATATTTTCGAAAAGAAAGTTGTAAATTATAACCATTTTTCAAGTCATATATTAGAATAAAATAGTAACGGAATTAGATTTATAAGAGACTTTGGACAACTCAAATATAAGAAAAAATTTTCAACCTGGCAACGCCTGTGGTAGAAGGTAATTAGTTAATAAATTTTACAGTTTTGTAAAAAAATCAAATTCGTCGAATGTGCCACCACGGGGTAGCTTCGTCATTTGATGAACGTTTAAATATGACAGTTATTTATTTTGATATTCGATACCTATGTATCGAAGCTAGTGATGTACGGTGAGAGCATCATATCGAAAACGCGATTGCCGAATGTGCCCCTACTTTGTCATTAGAGCATATTCCATTAGATTTTGGCCGAAAGGCTTTGCAATACAAAATAAAGCACAAATAATAACAAAAAATAAATATAAAAAAAATATTTAAATATTTATTTATCGTCATAGTTCCAGATAAGTATTTAATAACAGGTTCCTATCAGTCAGTCACTTATAACGCAATTATATACTCTTTTACAATAGGCGATGCCGATTTCTATCCTATTAACTTGTTGATGGCGCTGAGAGTAATTACACTACAGTAGATATCATATAAGAAAAAATCGCATATAAGAAAGATTATCAAAAACACAGAGCTTATACTTTCTTATATCCGATAATTTAGCACCATTTAGTAATTTTTATACTCATATATAAGAATTTTCAAAGTACCTCAATCCTGATTTAAATAATAATCGTAAGACCAAATTTAAAAATTCCATCTTTGTATGTTCATTAAAAACTAAACTGTACCAGTTTTGGTACCATTCTGTACTTTTTAGCCATATTCCAAACCAAATAGTAATTGTAAGTCCAAATTTAAACTTTTCAGATCTGTTTTTTTACATAAAGCCAAATAGTACCTGTTTTGGTACCATTCTTTACTTTTCCTATTTATATTCCAAACCTATATCAATCTAACCATAAGTACGAATTTCCACAGCTACATCAGTCCAGCTCTATCCGTTCATTAACTTTTTGAGTTTCTAAAATATATTTGGTACCATTTAGTACTTTTCGTACTTATGATTTCGAATTTCCAACACTGCCTCAATTCTGTACTTTAACAGTAATTTTATTTTCAAACTAAGTTTTCCATTTCTATCCTTCACTCTAATAAAAATTGTACTGAACTTAAAACCATCTAGTACATATAACTACGCATTTTCAAAAACTAACTCCATGACTCATCCTACAATCCAATCCTTAATTTTAATTCCAAATTTTATGATTCCCGCTCACACAAAACAAATTGTACCATATTTTGTACCATTTAGTGC